AATGGAATCTATGAAAGATCGTTGAAAAAACTTTTTCGTTTTTTTTTGTTTTCATTTGTGATAGCTGATATGAGAAAGAAAAGCTAAATATGAGTCAATTTTATATGTACTTGATATATTCATCTATACAAATACATAAGTCAAATCTCATATACATAGAAAGAAATGTATCATTATTGGCATGTGATAAATTTGATCAACTATCGATGCATCATATCATTTAGCCTTCATACTATGCATGCGAGTATTGATGAATGTGTGTATGCTATAATTTACTTACCCATCAACTTCTAGTTTATCTAATAAATCACCTCTATATATTATGAAAAACAATACAAATTCATAGAAAAAAACAGATGTTTATTTATGAAATATTTGCAACCAATTGTCGGCTGAGTAGATCTGCTTGTCGTATTGGTTCACAAATACGATATTGAGTGACTAATTGAAATATATGTAAAGCTGTTGTCAATGTTATTTTATGTCCAACACTGATATAAACAGCATTTTTGACACTGCCAGTTACATTATAAGCTAAACCAAGAACATTGCCACTATCATCTAGAACTTCAATATATTGATCAATATCTGGTGCTTTTTCAGTTAATAATTCTTGAAGTTTAAATCGTGTGATACTGTCTACATTGAGAACATTTTTCGATACACCAAAACATGGAATACCACTTAAGAGTCCAAAATGAGATGCACTACCAACACGACGTGGATGCCAAACACCATTTCCATCAATTAGAATGACTTGTGGTGTTAAGTGAGGACAATGTTGTTTTTGAATTTCAATTAATTTCATAAATATAGGAGTTTCACGAAATGCTAAATAACCGGATATATATGGAATTTTAATCACACAATAAATACTGATTTTTGCTACAATATTTAATGTTGTATAATCGAAAATAACCATCGATGCAACAGCTTGATCATTTGATTTAGCAAAACTGATATCTAAACCAGCAATATATTGAATTGGTTGTTCAATCTGATCGACATCAGTTATAATCAATGAAACCATTTCTTCTTGTTCTCTAAAATAGATTGAATTGATAAGAATAGTTTGAAGAAAGTGGATGAAAACACATACTTTGTCCATAGTGGTAATATTTCATCAACATTCACATCATTTCCAATTTCAATGAAATCTTTTATCTCAATATTCACACATGTTTCAGATTTTTTCTTACTTGAACTTTTGTTTGACGATGCCATCTCAAATTGTTTAACACAAAATAGCAATCTAAAATAAATATTCCAATAAATAACGTGTATATACGACATTCGAAATATGATTTCATCATACTAATTAATTAAAATTACAATTTCTTGCATCACCAACATGGTTTTTTCTGACAGATTTATTGAGGCAGATATTTCGTCATATTATGAGAATAATTATCTATTCGTTGATATTTTCAAATTAAAATATACTGATATTTTTCTATTACATTTTAGCTCGTATTAACAAACCGAATGGATGTAAGATACTCAAATGATATAATTGACAAGATGTCGCTCAAAATTGGATTGAAGACATAAATTTACATTTATACTCTCAAAAATGCGAAATTTTATTGTATTCTTGCAATCATTTCATTAACAACAACAACAATATTATGTTCATTATTTTCTTCTTCTCCTAATATCGTTACTTCTTTTCACCGTAAACATAGTTAATATTAATCAACATCGCAAAGGTAATAAAAACAAGATTTTGAACGAATAAACAACGAAGTAATTGAAAATCTTTCTTTTTTGTTATTGTTGCCGTGAAATACTTCGAATTTGTCGAAAATTTTCAAAAGATAGTAACCTTATAATGAACATCATGAGAGAGAAAAAAATAAAATCAAGATAGAATTTTGTTAAATCATAATAACAAATATCAAGAAATGGAGAGAATTTTTGAATATTAACTTTAATAACAATATGAAGATTAAATACCATCCACAATATTGTATCTATACTTATCGAAAAATAAGCTGATCGTATATATTCTTATAGGACGTTGAACGAAAGCGATTTTTTTATTAGAAATATGAGACAAAAAAAAGATATATATGTTAAAAGCAAATATAAGAAGAGTTAATGTTTATTATGCGACATATTGAAATCGAATAGCAACATTTGGCGCTTTTGGTTTCAATTTTGCTGCTTTTTTTGCTCGTAGCTGTTTTAGTCTTTCAGCTTTAACAGGATCAATTTTAAACACGTATTTAAGAACATCCATTATTATAACAAATAAACATGTTAATACTAGAGCAACTATTGCAACGCTTGCAAATGATTTACTTAACGCTTGTTTAACTTTTAATGCACTTGTTTGAATTTCACAGTAATTACCATAATAAAGTGATGGAGTTAAGCATATACAACTCCAACTCATATTAACTGTTTGACATATACCATGATTTTGACATGTTATATTAACACATAAATTAACTTTAAGTTCACAATGCACACCAGTAAAACTTTCACTACAATTACAATAGAAAGTTGTACCATTATTGTCAACCGTAGTAGAATTCACTTCAATACATGTTCCATTATTCCTATAGAAATAGAATTTACATAAAATGAAACTAAAATAAACACAATTTCTTACCAACATGTATCATCTTTACATAGTCTTTCATCATTTTCGCAAGTACTACCTGTATAGCCTGTTTGACATCCACATCTGTATCCTAATGGTACTGTCGCATCTGGAAAACAAGTTGCTGCATTAAGACATGGTTGTGACATAGAACAAGTATCTGATGTCACGTTACAATAAGCACCTATACTCGTTCCTGGACAATAGTATGCTGGTGGTGCAGGAGTTGTCGCGGTTGTTGCAGTTGTTACTGATGTAGTTGTTGTTGTCGATGTGGTAGTTGATGTTGCCGTTCTTACAGCAGTACTACTTGTGGTACTACTGCTACTTGTTGTAGTAGTAGTTGTCGTAGTAGTGCTACTTGTGGTACTGCTACTGCTGCTCGTAGTAGTACTGCTAGTGGTGGTCGTGGTAGAAGTGCTACTTGAAGTACTGCT